ACAGTGTCTGTGTGGGTGGACCATTTCAGTTTGTCGGTGATGTGTACGCCAAGGAACTTGAAGCTTTCCACCTTCTCCACTGCGGTCCCGTCGATGTGGATAGGGGGGTGCACCCTCTGCTGTTTCCTGAGGTCCACGATCATCTCCTTTGTTTTGTTGACGTTGAGTGAGAGGTTATTTTCCTGGCACCACACTCCCAGAGCCCTCACCTCCTCCCTGTAGGCGGTCTCGTCATTGTTGGTAATCAAGCCTACTACTGTTGTGTCGTCTGCAAACTTGATGATTGAGTTGGAGGCGTGCTTGGCCACGCAGTCATGGGTGAACAGGGAGTACAGGAGGGGGCTGAGCACGAACCCTTGTGGGGCCCCAGTGTTGAGGATCAGCGAAGTGGAGGTGTTGTTTCCTACCTTCACCACCTGGGGACGGCCCGTCAGGAAGTCCAGGACCCAGTTGAACAGGGCGGGGTTAAGACCCAGGGCCTCAAGCTTAATGATGAGCTTGGAGGGTACTATGGTGTTGAATGCTGAGCTATAGTCAATGAACATCATTCTTACATAGGTATTCCTCTTGTCCAGATGGGATAGGGCAGTGTGCAGTGTGATGGCGATTGCATCGTCTCTGGATCTATTGGGGCGGTAAGCAAACTGAAGTGGGTCTAGGGTGACAGGTAAGGTAGAGGTGATATGATCCTTGACTAGTCTCTCAAAGCACTTCATGATGACAGAGGTGAGTGCTACGGGGCGATAGTCATTTAGTTCAGTTACCTTTGCTTTCTTGGGTACAGGAACAATGGTGGCCATCTTGAAGCATGTGGGAACAGCAGACTGAGAAAGGGAGAGATTAAATATGTCCGTAAACACATCAGCCAGCTGGTCTGCGCATGCTCTGAGGACGCGGCTAGGGATGCCGTCTGGGCCGGCAGCCTTGCTACTGTGTTATCCTCAAAGCGGGCGAAGAAGGTGTTTAGCTTGTCTGGAAGCGAGACGTCGGTGTCGGCGTCGTGGCTGGTTTTCCTTTTGTTGTCCGTGATCGTCTGTAGACCCTGCCACATATGTCTCGTGTCTGAGCCGTTGAATTGTGACTCCACTTTGTCTCTATACTGATGTTTTGCCCGTTTAATTGCCAGTTTAAGTGAGTAGCTACACTGTTTGTATTCTGCCACATTCCCGGTCACCTTGCCATGGTTAAATGGGGTGGTTCGCGCTTTCAGTTTTGCGCGAATGCTGCCATCTATCCACGGTTTCTGGTTAGGGTAGGTTTTAATAGTCACAGTGGGCACAACATCACCTATACACTTCCTGATAGTCACCGTTTCAGTGTATTCATCGAAATTACTTTCGCAAGCTACCCAGAACATATCCCAGTCCGCGTGATCAAAACAATCTTGAAGCGTGGATTCCGATTGGTCAGACCAGCGTTGAATAGTCCTTAGTACGTGTACTTCCTGTTTGAGTTTCTGCCTGTAGGAAGGGAGAAGCAAAATGGAGTCATGGTCAGATTAGCCGAAAGGAGTGCGGGGGAGGGCCTTATAACCATCCAGGAAGTTCGAATAGCAATGGTCGAGGATTTTAGCAGCGCGAGTACAACAGTCGATATGTTGATAGAACTTCGGCAGCCTAGTCCTCAAATTTGCTTTGTTAAAATCCCCGGCTACAACAAATGCAGCCTCAGGATATGTGGTTTCCAGTTTGCATAAAGTCCAGTGAAGTTCTTTGAGGGCCTTCGTGGTATCGGCTTGAGGGGGGATAAACACGGCCATGACTATAACCGAAGAAAATTGTCTTGGGAGATAATACGGTCGGCATTTGATTGTGAGGTTAACTCTAATGAACTTATCCTCTGCAGCAGAGGTAACTCTGGGTCTTCCTTTCCTATGGCGGTCATCATGAGAGCCAGTTTAATCATAGCGCTTGATGGTTTTTGCGACTGCACTTGAGGAAACTTTCAAAGTTCTTGAAATTTTCTGGATTGACTGACCATGTCTTAAAGTCATGATGAACTGTTGTTTCTCTTTGCTTATTTGAGCTGTTCTTGCCATAATATGGACTTGGTCTTTTACCAAATAGGGCTATCTTCTGTATACCACCCCTACCTTGTCACAACACAACTGATTGGTTCAAATGCATTAAGAAGGAAATAAATTCCACAAATTAACTTTTAACAAGGCACACCTGTTAATTGAAATGCATTCCAGGTGACAACCTCATGAAGCTGGTTGAGAGAATGCCAAGAGTGTCCAAAGCTGTCATCAAGGCAAACTGTGGCTACTTTGATGAATCTCAAATATAAAATATATTTTGATTTGTTTAACACTTTTTTGGTTACTACATGATTCCATATGTGTTATTTCATAGTTTTGATGTCTTCACTATTATTCTACAATGTAGGAAATAGTCAAAATAAAGAAAAACCCTTGAATGATTAGGTGTCCAAACATTTGACTGGTACTGTACAGATACAAGGTACACAAGCTATATACACAAGATACATGAATCACTGGATTTTTAACACAGTGCATGATTTTATCTCATTTGAAGTGGATAGTTCTATACATGACTTCTCAACTAACCCAAGTTTACCTTTCATTTAAAAATGAAAAATTATTCACTTTAAGTGCACTATTGTCCACCTGGTCTCAATTCAGAGAACAAATTGGATAGAAATATCAAGGATGGCAGAGAATTCTAGTCAATAGAATGTCCAGACCATCCTCATATATTTTAGTGTATCTATAGTATTACCCATCCATAATTGTCTAATGAATGACAAGTACAAAGTAATGTTAGACCAACTAAGCTCTACTTACTACGAAAAAGTATCAACTGTGCATTACACACAGCATTATCATCAGCGGAACATTCCAGCACCGCTAAGAGTTTAGATCTGTAGTGATTCAGTCGCTAAGTTGGATCAAAACTCTGGCATTTAAATGGCCCTTTGTTGTAGGTTTACAGCAGCAGTCCCACGCTCAAAAAGAGCAACAATGAACTACATTGTTCTTCTTTACAATAGACACACTCAAAGTTGAGATAAGGCAGACAAACAAATACATCTTATTACATTGACACAGACAAGTTCAGCTTCCCTTTTTATATTTCAGCTTTTTAACCACCCGTTTGACGCATTTGATCGGTTGTCCTTCATTCATTCATAGCTAATATATTAGAGTTTATTGTTTGATCTAGTAAGGTTATTTCACCAACATATCACAGTGTAAAACTGCTCGAGGTCTCACCTTCATTTTAGTGAAATACCATTAGTAGATCCATTAGGCTGAGTCTATATGCATATGCCTTAGCTCAGATTTTGTCATAACATCATGATTAGGGTTGCAAAGCTACTGGTAATTTACCCAAGTTAATTCTGGTAATTAACAGGTCATCTATGGCAATCTATGGTAATTTATACTTGAATAACTTTTTTAAAAATGTATTCATATATACACTCACCAGCCAGTTTATTAGGTACACCCATCTAATACCGGGTCGCACTCCCCTTTGCCTCCAGAACAGCCTGAATTCTTTGGGGCATGGATTCTACAAGTTGGAAATGTTCCACAGGAATGTTGGTCCATGCTGATATGATGGCATCACGCAGTTGCTGCAGATTGGACGGCGGTACACCACTGCCACCAGCCTTTACCGTTGACACCAGGCAGGATGGGTCCATGGACTCATGCTGCTTACGCCAAATCCTGACTCTGCCATCAGCATGACGCAACAGGAACCGGGATTAGTCAAACCAGGTTATGTTTTTCCACTCCTAAATTGTCCAGTGTAGGTGATCGCGTGCCCACTGCAGCTACTTCTTCTTATTTTTAGCTGATTGGAGTGGAACCCGGTGTGGTCCTCTGCTGCAATAGCCAATCTGTGACAAGGATCGACGAGTTGTGTGGTCCGAGATGGCATTCTGCACCCCACTGTTGTACTGCACTGTAATATGTCTGTCTGTGGCCCACCTGTTAGCTTGCACGATTCTTGACGTTCTCCTTTGACCTCTCTCATCAACTAGCTGTTTTCGCCCACAGGACTGCTGCTGACTGAATGTTTTTTGTTTGTCTCACCATTCTTGTTAAACCCTAGACACTATCGTGCGTGAAAAGCCCAGGAGGGCGGCCGTTTCTGAGATACTGAATCCGGAGTACCTGGCACCGACGATCATACCACGCTCAAAGTCACTTAGGTCACTTGGTTTGCCCATTCTAACGTTCAACCGAACAGTAACTGAATGCCTCGATACCCGTCTGCCTGCTTTATATAGCAAGCCACAGCCATGTGACTCAGTGTCTGTAGGAGCGATTCCTTTTCGTTAACGGGTGGTGTACCTAATAAACTTTGAGTGTCAGTGTAGTATTCATTTTTTATATCTGTGTCCATATTGTCCATGATTTTCTAGTGGATAGGCCATATGGTTCAAGAGAAAATAGCCTATTAAATTAAAAAAAGCATATATAATATTAAACACCAATGTTATTCACTAAATTGATCGTTAACATTTAGGATAATGTTTGACAGCGTTGTCATAATTTTTTTTATTTGATTTTTTAAAATATTTTTAATGTAAGGGACAGAGGGCAAGAGATAATTAGACACCTGTGATAATCTGAAGTACCCAAAAGGGCCACTAGATGTCTTGTAGTAGATTAAATAAAATCCTTGAAAGTTAACAAATTCTGGTAGTTTACTGGTACATTTAAAAAATGTTCAGTAATATTCCTTCCCTTTGCAACCATGATACAGTAGTGTTCATCTTTGAGTAACAATACTTCAGAAAAGGCATTTCTTTGAGGCCTTTGCTCTAAAATATAAATCAACATATCCATTAATGCTGGGAAACAGACTACAAAATTACTATGAATAGATAAAAATGGTATATGTCCACACACACAACTATTAGAATAACGTTTACAAAATTGAAACTCTTATAAGCTGTACATTTCTGAATCATCCCTTTGTCTTCAAGAGTTAGTAGTAAGTCCTCCAAGCTGGCATTCAGTAACTCTACCTTGGTTGAAGGTCTGGGTAAAATATTCCATGTATCACTCCTTCTATGACAACATTTGAAAATGTATCTATGAGGAGAAAAAAGCAAAGTAAAACTGATTTGTTCTATACAATATTTCCCCTTCAAATGATTCGCTATTGTATTTACATAATTAAATATTATGCAAAGAGATCTCACTTTAATATTGCAACGATATTGATTGTCTATTCATGGGCAGTCTGAAGATGTGTAAAGATATGTTACCGTGGGTGGATGGGAGCAGGTAGGGGTCTCGCTGGTAGAGCATGGTTGGCTGATGGGTCAGTTTACTACAGAGAGACCAGAGAGGAGAAGGATCAATTAAGGGAGTTAAGGGTCACAAGCCTGATAAAGCCAGTACTCTGACAAAATTATGCAGACTAGTTAGCTATTTTGACATTATACTTTGGAATTAACCTACATCACATAAACTACTATAAACTCAATAAACTATACAAAGGTAAAATCCACTAAAAACCACTAATTCCTTTAATTTACAGTGTTAAATAACACTAGATGAATATTTTTTTGTGAACAAATGTTTCATTTTGGCGTTATAACAAGGTTGGTAGAAACATGGAAAATCGTTGTGGAAATCCGTTGCAGCTCAAGTCGATTACAAAATCCACAATGCAATGCTCTCTCTATGGGCTAGCTAGCTAGCAAACGTAGCTACACACAATAATACCAAAGACAATATCAGCATGTAACGTATCTAGTTAGTGCAGTTTACTCCTGAGTGGCGCAGTGGTCTAAGGCACTGCATCGCAGTGCTAACTGTGCCACTAGAGATCCTGGTTCGAATCCAGGCTCTGTCGCAGCCGGCCGCGACCGGGAGACTCATGGGCGGCGCACAATTGGCCCAGCGTCGTCCAGGGTAGGGGAGGGAATGGCCGGCAGGGATGTAGCTCAGTTGATAGAGCATGGCGTTTGCAACGCCATGGTTGTGGGTTCGATTCCCACGGGGGGCCAGTATAAAAAATAAAAAAAATGATTCACTAACTGTAAGTCGCTCTGGATAAGAGCGTCTGCTAAATGACGTAAATGTTTTGGCGATTTTACAGCTATCGCACCATGTTCAACCTGCATTCATTGGATTCCTATCTCCTTTCTATAATATCTTTATAATATCTCTGGCAACTGCACCATGCAATGCACCCTGGACTAAATAGGAAAAAATGTGCTAGACCCTCCATTAAATTACAAATATCGAGGTAGGAATATCACAAAAATATTATCAATGGCTCATTTGAGAGAAGACATCCTCCCGAGTTATGACATTGGCCAGTATTGAAATCTGACATGTATGATATAGGTTTTGGCGATCTAAAAGTCGTATTCCAAGTGTAGTGAGAGCAACTTTATCACGGTGCTACGTAATACCGGCTGGGTTTCTGCCTGCTTGAACGCCAATAACTTAGATACACATGAAAACATTAAATGACCTAGGGAATCGATAGAACATCACTCAGAGATGCACAAAAACAATATAACATTCAAAATGGATGAACCTTTCAAAATCACTTAACAAACCTTGACTCTTCAGATTCCATTTCAAATGACCTTTAATGAAAGAAAAACATAGAAGATTCAGAATCAGTTTGGGGATTTTTATATAAAGGCAGGAACTCAATTCTTTCACAAAGGAGAGGAGAGATATTCTACAAGTATATAGGGCACATAGTATAAAAACTCACCCACAACTTTCTGTTTTTGGCAGTGAGGGAAAGTGGCGGATGTTGAGGAAATCCAGGAATATCTTTGGGAGAACTTCATTCTCCATAATTATAGTCTGTTGAATTATGGACACAAGAAACAAAAGCAAATGGAAGTTGGAAAAAATGTAATAGTACCATTTCAATGAGCTGTATTGATACAAAAGATGGGTTAGAGGAAATAGTCAGTGTAGGCCTGTCGGCGTTTTTCATTACCTGTAGGTAGAGTTCCAGACCGTGTCTTCTCTGCTCCAGAACTTTGGGAACCCAGTTCCGTACATGCTTAGAGGGGATCTCAGGCAGCTTTATGCTCTTCTTCAGCTTAAAGAAGCAGATATCACATTGAGCATGGTTACAGGGCATGGATTAGGGTAGAGGAAACATTCAAAGCCTAGCTCAAGCCAAATTCCAACTATTATGCTTTTCATATCCTTCACCCATATATTAAGCCTATTCCACTAATTATCACCCCCCTAACATAGTCCAGCCTTATCATATTATTGACTATGATGGCTCAGTATATGTTTTGAAAGTATTGTGGGCTCTGTTCTTACACCAGGAATATACACTACATATACAAAAGTATGTGGACACTCCTTCAGATTAGTAGATTCGGCTATTTCAGCCACACCCGTTGCTGACAGGTGTATAAAATCGAGCACACAGCCATGGAATCTCCATAGACAAACATTGGCAGTAGAATGGCCTTACTGAAGAGCTCAGTAACTTTCAATGTGGCACAGTCATAGGATGCCACCTTTCCAACAAGTCAGTTCGTCAAATTTCTGCCCTGCTAGAGCTGCCCCGGTCAACTGTAAGTGTTGTTATTGTGAAGTGGAAACATCTAGGAGCCCCAACGGCTCAGCCGCAAAGTGGTAGGCCACACAAGCTCACAGAACGGAACCGCCAAGTGCTGAAGCGCGTAAAGATCGTCTGTCCTCGGTAGCAACACTCACTACCGAGTTCCAAACTGCCTCTGGAAGCAACGTCAGCACAATAACTGTTCGTCGGGAGCTTCATAAAATGGGTTTCCATGGCCAAGCACCATGCGCAATGCCAAGTGTCGGCTGGAGTGGTGTAAAGCTCGCCGTCATTGGACTCTGGAGCAGTGGAAACGCATTCTATGGAATTATGAATCACGCCTCACCATCTGGCAGTCCGACTGATGAATCTTGGTTTGGCAGATGCCAGGAGAATGGTACCTGCCCCAATGCATAGTGCCAACTGTAAAGTCTGGTGGAGGAGGAATAATGGTCTGGGGCTGTTTTTAATGGTTCGGGCTAGGCCCCTTAGTTCCAGTGAAGGGAAATCTTAACACTACAGCGTACAATGACATTCTAGACGATTCTGTGCTTCCAACTTTGTGGCAACAGTTTGGGGAAGGCCCTTTCCTGTTTCAGCATGACAATGCCCCTGTGCACAAAGCGAGGTCCATACAGAAATGGTTTGTCGAGATCGGTGTGGAAGAACTTGACTTGCCTGCACAGTGCCCTGACCTCAACCCCATCGAACACCTTTGGGATGAATTGGAACGCCGACTGCGCCCAACATCAGTGCCCGACCTCACTAATGCTCTTGTGGCTGAATGGAAGCAAGTCCCCGCAGCAATGTTCCAACATATAGTGGAAAGCCTTCCCAGAAGAGTGGAGGCTGTTATAGCAGCAAAGGGGGGACCAACTCCATATTAATGCCCCATGATTTTGGAATGAGATGTTTGACGAGCAGGTGTCCATATACTTTTGGTGATGTAGTGTAAGTCAGTCAATGGTACACAAACTCACTATTTTATGCAGGTTATGGAATTCACTGTAGCGTTTCTCCACTGTATGCTGTCTACCATTCATTAGCACCTCGATTTTAAAGACCTGGTGATGAAAATAAACAGTCATCATGGTTCGGAGAAATGTGACATATGAACGTACAGAGATATGACTTGAATCAATTCACATTTGACAGTCATGGCCATTTAAAACATTGCATTTTTCAACACAATGCATTAGTTACACAAAATGGTGCTTTAGTGACTTTGCTATCAAGGGAAACACTCGGGAGGTCAGGAAACTTGTTAAAGCAGTTGATCGATGTTTCACATCCTGTCAGAGTTATCGTCAAAATCGTTTTTTACTGTCTGTAAAATTGGTGAAATTGAATGGATAGCACCCAACCGGGTCTTCTCTACTCCCACTCTGTCTAGTCACGTCAAATAAACGTTAGTTGACAGCATTGGTTGACTGTTTCGCTAACATTACTCAAAGTTAATAAATATGCTATTGGTTTGTTTTCAACCATTTGTTGCAAACTTGCAATGTTAGCTATGATTGTTGTTTTGCGGAGGCTTACTGGTGCATACATTCAAGATCTTACCGTGTACCCTTTCTCCATCGGATTGTCCTCTGAGCGGAACGATGGAATGGAAATCCTGACGTTATGCATTTTGGCAAAACAAACCCGAGACTAAATGCATACAATCCTGAGTTATATATTAACTTGCAGACACATAGGGATGTTTTGGTAGCCAGTTAGCTAGCTACGGCTAGTGTTGGAATGGATTCTTCTTCTCGTTTCGACTGAAGGGTATGGAGTGCCAAAAAGTCACACTGCTCCCATCTACTGGGGGTGGAAAGTTATTACAAACGCGAGACTACCAATATGTTTCTAAAATCAATCAACTGCGTGAAAAACCAGCTTGAAAATCACAATGAATCTCACGATGATTTATTCAAGTAGATTTCCTGGAATACATAAAAACGTTGCAGTAATATCTACTTTCATTGCATAAATATCAAACAAAACAGGATAAAAGAGACAGCTATCAGACTAACCATAAGTACAAGCATTTCACAAAACAAATAAAGATTTAGAGTACGGGCACAGTATGTACCTGATCTGTGTATTGCTTATATCTACTAATTTTCAAACCCTTAGGGTCATAAAAATAATCTAAAGTGACCTTGAACTTAAGTTGTAAACATACAAGCTACTAATAGCAAGCAAATGTAAATAATAATATTAACAATAATAGGGTGAAAGGGATGATATGTTTGATGATATGTTTGACATAAAACACATAAAACGATGAGGGAAATGCCATGGTTGAAAAATCTGTATTTTACTATGCGCTACATTCTGTGCTCTTCAAGCAAGCTGAAGATGGATTCCATACAATGTGGTGCTGAATATTGTGTAATTGATATGTAAAAACAAATAATTTCTCATTTGTGAGCTTTTAACATCTGAAATTCCATTTATTTGATTTACACCTTTTAAAACCTGTCTAAACTATTGTAATGTAATATACTTTAAATTCAATTAATAGTTTATTGCACTTATAGAATGGCTTTACAAAAACATATTTAACATAGGCATAACATGAACCTCTGAGTTTTGGTTTATGTTCACCTGAAAAACTAATGTCAATTTGACAAGACTATGACCATTCTTACATATTTTCAGTTATCCATGTGTACTTTATCCACATTTTGTTCAAGACGTTTTCTTGGCTGTCATGGAATGATTCTTAGTGGTTTGGAGAATGACTTCCCCCTCTTAATAGCTGAGAAGAAAATAATAAAGCATTTCATCACATACAGCACACACAGAAACAAACGGCATAATACATCCTGTAATGTGAGTTATGATTATGTGTTAGATGTTCACAATAATCTTATAAATGTATTACTGTCTGGCACAGTGAAGAAGATGCTGAGTAATCATGTGTTGAAACATCATGGGCCGGTTTCCCAGTCCTACTCCTATACCTACGCCTACTCCTGACTCCTGCACTAAAAGGCATGCACAATGGTTTGTAAAATGAGATGAGGAGTTTTAAGACTCACTGTGAGATTTGACATCCTGAAACATAGGCATAGTTGCCAGTATAGCGAATCTCACAGCGCACAATGTTGTTGCTGTAGTCAGACTCTGGAACCTGATAGCTGGGGTTCACACTGATCTAAAACACAAAAAGAAAGAAAGGAGTGGGAGTACAAATATTTCATAAAAACAATGAAAATTTGGTCAAAAACAGTTGCAACACAGTAGTAACAGGGGACGGATAAACATTGATTCCAAACACAGTCAAGGCATTTCAAATCAGCCTTTTTGCTTCTCAGAGCTGGTGTGTGAATACCTTGGGACATGGTATTCAGCACCAAAGTGCCAATAATGTAATCTGTTTTCGTGACAAACCTTCAGGACGTAGTTCCCAGGTTTCACATCTGTAATATCGATCCACTGGCAGTCGATGTCTGCGTTATAGGTATCATAACATCCTGGACTCAGGCCCTATGATTAGACAACAGTAAGCAGCACTCACATGCCATTACAGAGTATTCAACTGTAAGTAAGCATCTCTGCTGGATATCATAGCCTGGTACTGAACAGCTACAGCCATACAATCTACAGACAAAATAGTAAAAGTTGGACATCCCTTTGATTCGATTAGTCAACATGACATAAAGCAACACGTGTTGTGTCGGTAACCTGGGTGTGTGAGGTGCAGGCAAAGCGTCTGTAGTAGCCGTAGTCACAGGAGCTGTCCTCCAGGCAGAAGCTGGCCTTGTGTCCCTCAGCCACACTCCTGCCACCTGAATCCAGCAGGTCATAGTGGCTGAACTCATCCATGCTGTGGTAATGCCTGGAGAGAAGCAGGACAATGGAATTTGATCAGTGTTTAAATAACTGATTCAATCACTTTGTCATCACTTTGGCTGGCATTCAATCAAACAGGTGCTGTAGAAAAGCCACTTAACTGAGAAAATAATGTTCCAATGCAGAGGAATGCATTTTTATACAGTTTCAGGTACAGGTCCAGTCAATGAGACAGACCTACAAATCAGTTGTACAAAAACAAGCTGCAGGATGTAAGTCAATATGTACCCCATACTTGATGTTGGTACAGTATGTGACTTACTTCAGAGCATAGCTATGGGCTGAGGTAATGTGAAATGCAGACTTCTGTGGAATCAAGAGAGCTGGACACTTTTGAATGTATTCAGTAAGACAAGGTTACAGACTTTTCCCTCTGAAGGTTCTGGCTACACATCCAGCATCACATTCCTCATATGCAGTAGAAGTTATGGGTTGGAGTCAAATATTTTAAAGTGGAAACTTGATTCAAATACATTGACATACACTTTTGCATTGCTATATATTGCCAGACAAATCTGTCTGATGAGACCAGTATGTTGATTATCAAAATATGGACATTAATCCACTCTGTGAGAGAGAGAGGAGAAAAAAAATAGAGTGGAAGAAAAAAAACTGAGTGTTTGTGTAACTGGCAGACAGAAATGGAGACACGAGAAACACACAGTTCCAGAGAGAGGTGAAAAGGCATATAGACAGACAGACATTGAGAGAGACTCACTGGTGACAACTGTGCCATTCCCAGGAGTAGCGCGGTCTGCTTGGCAGGAAGTCAGCTGTCCCCTGGTTCTTCACACGTTGTGGGAACCTCAGCAGCATGCGGGTGTCATAGTCTCTCGCTCTGTAGGCCGAACTGCCCCCCAAAACAACATCATATTTTGGACACAGAATGAGAACTGAATACACTTGAATACAGAACTGAATGCAGAACTGAATACACTTTGGACACAGAATGGGATTGAGTACGTTTATAAGCGATATACACTGTACCTCCTTTTCAAGAAAGCATATGATCTTACATTTCTGGGAAAGGTTTGGAAGAGGGAGGAGTGATTCCTTTCAAAAAGGATATGGTTGTTTGGGTTAGTTTTGATAATGAGTTTACAGTCTGGCTAGTGATGATTTTTCTATGTAAACTGCAGAGCGTTTAAATGATTTGTTGAATTTTACCACTACAACCAAATGGTGGCAGGATTCTATTTATCCACCAAATGCATCCCACTGGGCACACTATGTCATTTCAACATGGACATTTCGGTAATATTTCATTGAGACGTTGATCAATGAGATTTCAGCCTTTATTCACTGACTCAAAAAGACATGTAGAAGTTTGTTGAATTCCCAATGTGTTATCACTATGCTTTCAACCATCTAAAAGCACAACCAAATTCCAATGGAAAAACAATGTTTGATTTTTGATTTAGTTGTCATGTAAATGTGTTATCACTGCACTTTCAAACATTTAAAAGCACAACAAAGTAAAATAGTAAAACAATGTCAGATATTACAATAACTTAAAAGGGACAGTTCACCCAAATTACAAAATGACACATTGGTTTCCTTCATCCTGTAAGCAGTCCAAGGAGAAGGTATTTTAGCAATTTATGCTTTGGTTTAGTGTCCCTGGCACTTATATATCGGTCCCATGACTTGAATGGAATTTGTGCAACAAATGATAAAACGGTAGCATGTGGAAACAGTGCCAGGGAAAACTAAACCAAAGCTTGGATTACTGTCATCATGATTGCTGTCATAGACTGCTTACAGCAGTGGTCACCAACCTTTTCTGAGTCAAAATGCAACCCAAGATCTACCGCTCAGATTTTTTTTACATAATTTAAAAAACGTAAGCCTATGAAACATTAACTTATTAAAAACAGTACTGTAGCAATGAGGTTTGTGCAGTACACTATAGGCCCAATACATTATCACCGCATATTGGCTTTGCTGGAATTGCCCAGCCAATTATATTTCAAATTTAAGGTAGGCTATATGATCACACCAGTAATAGATCAGTTGTTGTATTACTTGTGAGGCACAGCTGTGTCAGCATACATTTAAATATTTTACTGGGCTGATGGTGCCTGCATCTGATGGTCAGTCTCAGCGGAGGGAGAGAGCAGGAGGAGACTGGAGTCCACCTCTCAACGTCCTTCCGCTCTCCCTTTCCTCCGCTGACACTGACCAAAAAAGGGTGTCTTCCAGCTGGTGGCGAAACGCGAGTCGCACCGCATTATTCCTGCCTCATGCACAAATTCATGTTGTTCTCCCATGAACAGAGAAAGTGAAATATTCATCTAATAACGCAAGCCTATCTATACACTTTCCTACTCATTACAGCTGCAGTGTTGGTTGTAGTGCGAGTGGAAGTAGGAAGAACGCACATTTTGATAGCCTATAAAAGTGTTGAATAAAAAAAAAAAGTGTTTACATTGCTGAGTAAGAACTTAAACATGAACGCACTCATAAAAACAGCAGCTATTTGCTGTGTTCGTTGACAGTCTCTCGTCATGGTTTTAAAATGTTTGAAATCTAAGTGTCAACTTTGCTGTAGCTTTCTTTTAAGCCTGCAACTTTACTGCAGACATGGTAATCTGAGCCATCCGATTGGCCAGCGGTAGGCCTGTAGTGCACACAGTTTTTCCAACTGCTTACACACATTTTCAAAACTGTCTCCTTTTTTCAAAACTCTACACACAATTCCCAAAACTGCACACAAAAAATGCAAAATGCCTCACATCTCCTTCAAAATGTAACACTGCATTCAAAATGCCATAAACACATGTCAGAATGAAGCATTTGCATCAAATGGCAAACACTTCTTTCATAATAGTAAATTTGTGGATATACCATGTAACCACTGTTCTAAATATAAAGCTCTTTGGTCTTTCATAAGCTTATATCTACATTTCAATACAATGTTCTACTGTGAAAATAATCTGCTGAGAGGGGTAACAAGTACACTGTAAACACCAATGCAATGTAGAAACAGAAAATATTTATTAGGCCAAACATTACTGTTATATACAGTAGCATACAACAAAACCATAAACATATGTAAACCAAAATTGTATTCTTTAGAATACAGTAAAGAACAAAATTGTGTGTGGGGTCCCGGGGGGGCTGTCCAGGAATTGATAGGGGGGGGGGGGCAGTCACCAGTGCTAAGCTACGCTTCATCTCTTCTCCGGGCTGGGTCTGGCCACAATACTTTGTCCACATCACAAGATACGACTTATCTTGCCAAACATCGAGGGAAGTATCTCCTAGCATGGCGTATCAAACCTTGGACAGAGTAACCTCTGTCCCCACATGCGTCCTCCATTACCTGGAGAAGCGGCATGCGGGCATAGGGTTGGCGATCATACACTTTCCAGCACCAGGCTGAGAAGAATTCCTCTATGGGATTTAGAAAAGGTGAATATGGGGGTAGGTACAAAACTACAAATTGTGGATGGGTGGCAAACCAGTTTGGACCAGAACAGCCCGGTGAAAACTAACATTGTCCCATATAACCACAAATCTAGCAGGCTCCTGATCTGGATCAGGGACAAGCATTGTGTAAATTGCATCCAGAAAAGTGAGCATATGGCCGGTGTTGTACGGACCCAGTGTGGCATTGTGATGGAGGACCCCGTTTTGAGTGATGGCAGCACACATAGTTATATTACCCCCACACTGTCCAGGGACATTGGTAATTGCCCTCTGTCCTATTTGAAGCCAACCTCATCCACATAAATAAATTAATGGCGAATTACATGGGCATCCATCTCCAATACTCTCTGTAACAGACAAAAGGATATCAAATCAAATCAAATTTTATTGGTCACATGCGCCGAATACAACAGGTGCAGACATTACAGTGAAATGCTTACTTACAGCCCTTAACCAACAGTGCATTTATTTTAAACAAAAAAGTAAAAATAAAACAACAACAAAAAAAAGTGTTGAGAAAAAAAAGAGCAGAAGTAAAATAAAGTGACAGTAGGGAGGCTATATATACAGGGGGGTACCGTTGCAGAGTCAATGTGCGGGGGCACCGGCTAGTTGGGGTAATATGTACATGTGGGTAGAGTTAAAGTGACTATGCATAAATACTTAACAGAGTAGCAGCAGCGTAAAAAGGATGGGGTGGGGGGGCAGTGCAAATAGTTCGGGTAGCCATGATTAGCTGTTCAGGAGTCTTATGGCTTGGGGGTAGAAGCTGTTGAGAAGTCTTTTGGACCTAGACTTGGCACTCCGGTACCGCTTGCCGTGCGGTAGCAGAGAGAACAGTCTATGACTAGGGTGGCTGGAGTCTTTGGCAATTTTGAGGGCCTTCCTCTGACACCGCCTGGTATAGAGGTCCTGGATGGCAGGAAGCTTGGCCCCAGTGATGTACTGGGCCGTACGCACTACCCTCTGTAGTGCCTTGCGGTCGGAGGCCAAGCAGTTGCCATACCAGGCGGTGATGCAACCAGTCAGGATGCTCTCGATGGTGCAGCTGTAGAATTTTTTGAGGATCTGAGGACCCATGCCAAATCTTTTTAGTCTCCTGAGGGGGAATAGGCTTTGTCGTGCCCTCTTCACGACTGTCTTGGTGTGTTTGGACCATGATAGTTTGTTGGTGATGTGGACACCAAGGAACTTGAAGCTCTCAACCTGTTCCACTACAGCCCCGTCGATGAGAATGGGGGCGTGCTCAGTCCTCTTTTTTTTCCTGTAGTCCACAATCATCTCCTTTGTCTTGGTCACGTTGAGGGAGAGGTTGTTGTCCTGGCACCACACGGCCAGATCTCTGACCTCCTCCCTATAGGCTGTCTCATCGTTGTCTGTGATCAGGCCTACCACTGTTGTGTCGTCGGCAAACTTAATGATGGTGTTGGAGTCGTGCCTGGCCATGCAGTCATGGGTGAACAGAGAGTACAGGAGGGGACTGAGCACGCACCCCTGATGGGGCCCCCGTGTTGAGGATCAGTGTGGCAGATGTGTTGTTACCTACCCTTACCACCTGGGGGCGGCCCGTCAGGAAGTCCAGGATCCAGTTGCAGAGGGAGGTGTTTAGTCCCAGGATCCTTAGCTTAGTGATGAGCTTAGAGGGCACTATGGTGTTGAATGCTGAGCTGTAGTCAATGAATAGCATTCTCACGTAGGTGTTCCTCTTGTCCAGGTGGGAAAGGGCAGTGTGGAGTGCAATAGAGATTGCATCATCTGTGAGAATTGCATCATACAGATGAGTAAATATGGTATGTCTGAAGTACTGGAAGTAGTGTTGCATACATACCTCTACAAAGTCAGGTCGCAGATTCTTGACTCTGTATGAGTTTCTCTCAAATGGCACCTTATAAAGTTGTTTCATCGTCACTTGGTGCCGTTGGAGGATGCGTTGTATGGTCGACAGGCTTACAGCATTGATGTTGTTAAATACGGTGTCATTATTCAAGATATGCTCTCTTATCTCTCGAATCCTAATTGCATTGTTGGCCAAAACCATATTTATAATTGCAGTCTCTTGTACATCTGTAAACAAGCATCCTCGTCCTCCATGATGTCTTTGCCTTTCCACTCTGTACAGAATTCAAACACAGTATGTGTTCAGCATAGGAACTGTAAACAATGTACAAAAAAGGTAGTGCAGCATGATAACCAATCTCATTCATTCAATGCAGTGCAGTAAATGGATGGCTCAGAGTTACAAATGTTTACGCAATACTATGCAGTCATACGTATTTTACAGTACATTACTGTAATGCTAAAATAGTCATTAGATAGTTGCATACCTGTTCTCATTTCTGAAGGTTCGAATGATGGACGCCACTGTAAATCGACTCAAGTTGGGCTGGACTCTCAGTCCAGCCTCTCTCATGGTCAAACCGTGGTTGATCACATGATCAACAAGTGTTGCCCTAATCTCA